TCTGCCTTTCCAATAAAAATAAGATAAAACCTAAAAACAAAACAACCCCCCCCCCAAAAAAAAAACCCCACACTTTCTGACTAATTGTTTCAGGTATTTGGAAACACTGTGGATATTTGTATATTACTGTTACAAAGCCTAGGTTTGTGTCCTGGTTCTCCTGTGGATAGGCTGGAAGACAGATGTGAGCATCTGGGTAACGAATCAGCAGATGCAAGGTTCTTGTTTGTTGATCTCTTTTTCCAAAGAGAGAGAGAGGGTAGCAATAAAGAGAATTAGTAACTTAGTAAGTTAAAGCACACACACACACACACAAATATCTCATGAGACAAGGTCCTTTTCTATGGTTCAATCTCCCCTCATGGTGACTGAAGGCATTAAGTGGTTTGTTCCAGGTCACAGAACACACAGGAACACTTATCTACTGATTGCTACGCCCACTGGGAATCACAAAACAGTGATTCAAGTTTACCTTCTGACTTGGATCCTAATCTCTTTATTCAACAGATATTTATAATACGGTAGGAACGGTACTAAGTTTACTTATGCGATGGTGAGTGAAGACCAACACTTAGGTGCCCTTATGGAGCAAACAGTCTAGTGGAGAAGAGAAAGAACTATCAGTGACAGCCTGAGGAGGGAGAATTGTGGACAGGCACTCTAGTCCAGTATTAAAACTGTGGGGCTGGCATCATGCCGTGGCAGGATAAGCCTCTGATTGCAGTGCTGGCATCCCATATAGGCGCCAGTTAGAATCCCAGCTGCTCTACTTCCAATGCAGCTCCCTGCTTATGGCCTGGGAAAGTAGCAGAGAACGGCTCAAATTTTTGGGCCCCTGCACCCATGTGGGAGTCCAGGATGAAACTCCTGGTTCCTGATTGGCTCAGCTCTGGCCATTGTGGCCATTTGAGGAGTGAACCAGCAGATGGAAGATATCTCCCTTTTTAAGAAACAATAAATAAAAACTGTTCCTGCAGTTGAAGAAAATGGGAAGTTTTTTTTTTTTTAAAGATTTATTTTTATTATTTTTTCATTGGAAAGGCGGATATACAGAGAGGAGAGACAGAGAGGAAGATCTTCCATCCGATGATTCACTCCCCAAGTGAGCGCAATGGGCCGATACTATGCCGATCCGAAGCCAGGAGCCTCTACCGGGTCTCCCACGCGGGTGCAGGGTCCCAAAGCTTTGGGCCGTCCTCGGCTGCTTTGCCAGGCCACAAGCAGGGAGCTGGAAGGGAAGCAGGGCTGCCGGGATTAGAACCGGCGCCCATATGGGATCCCGGGCGTGCAAAGTGAGGACCTTTAACCACTTGCGCCACCGCGCTGGGCCCGAAAATGGGAAGTTTTAACAGAATCATTACCTTGAGAAATCTTAATAATTTTCAGTTTTAAAAAATGTATCTATTCTCCTGTTACCTGATGATGGCTCAAATGCTTGAGCCCCTGTCACCAACATGGAAGGTCTGGCTGCGAGTCCTGGCTCCTTCTCTGGCCCGTGGCTTTTGCAGGCATTTAAGGAGTAAAACCGCAGGAGGAAGATGGCTCTGTTTCTCTGCCTTTCAAGTGGATGAAAAAAAAAATTTTTTTTTTTTAAATACATTAACTCTGAAGATTAACTATGGGGTGTAGAAATAGGGGTGATGAAGAAGGATAACAAAACAATAATTATACTAGAGAACATTTTCAACCAAAACCAAAATGTTCTAACCATGCAAAGATTCCGGACAGTGAACTAATTTATGGCAGAAACCAAGGATTTCAGAAGCAGAAACAGCTGAGGTTTTTGAGCACTGCTGGAGTTCTTTCCTGTCTGCTTGTGCAGCCTGGCGTGAGGAAAAGACCCTTCAGCCTGGCAGGGAAGAATTCCTGCCATTTATAGGTTCAAGCAGGCATGCCTGCTTAAAGTTCTATATGGAACAACATTCTGGATGAAGAGAAACTCTACGATATCGCAGTAGCAGTATAGATGCATGAGATGAAGTGTGGCTACCTTGTTAAACTCTGCCAAAGCAAGAGGCTAAAATGAATGCTGAAGTGGACAGTGGGAACATAAGCCACAAAAGATCCCCTACTTGCTTCTCTCTCTGCTTGGGCTCCTTTGCCATCAGTCTCAGTGTCCTTACATGACAGTATAAGAAATCATGTATCATCAAATCTGGGATAAATGTGGCTAATCTTTAGGGGGGGGAAAACAAACTATGGTGCTTAATGTATGGCATGAGCGGCACCATAAGCACAGAGATGGGACCAGACAAGACAGTCAGACAGGAGCAATGCTTGCCTCTGAGCAGGGGTGTGTTACCAGAACAGCCACACTGCAACTTTGCCCGACAACAGCCCCTTCCCAGAACGAATCAAAACCTTTCACCTGTAAATCACAGTACAGACCACCCAACTGGGCAGAACTCCAGCACAGCACAACACAGAGCCTCAAAAATGATGACCCATCACAATGCCTTTAGGAAAAAGCAATCTCAGATCTGAATGGTTTTCAAAGGCAGGTACTTCAAGAGAAACCAGTTCTGCTCCCCTGACCATCAGGAAGGGGAACTCACCTTTGGTTCTGCAGTCAGATAGTCCTGGCGTGGATGGCTGGGTGGTGAAGGAGAGAGGAGATCACTCATCTATGTCGCCACAGGTTCCTGGGTCTTCAGTTACATTGGATTGTGACTGCCATGTCCCCTGTTTGAATTCCCCCTCTATATTACAAGCTCTATAAATACACGGACTGAGTATTGCCAAGACTGGGCATAATGTCTCAAACATTATTACACATTCAATAGGCAGTTGTTAAAGGTGTGGTCATAAAACCACTGAAACCTGGAGACACAGTGTGGAACAGCAGAAAAGAAAGTCAACATCTTGATTCTCAACTTTACTCACTCTATAATTCTGTGTACAAATATACAAAGCAAGTTCAGCATTCTGATATTGTTGAATGAACATATCAGAATTCATAAGTGCAAATGAATATGAATGAGTTCCTTTCAAAGTAGGTATTTTGGTAAATTCTCATTCATCTATGGAAATCAGTTTGGAATCTTTGTTTTTACCTTTAAGCAACATCACATGGCTTTAAAACATTTTACAAAAGCAGTATATATTTACCAACTAAAAATACATCAGAAATCACAACGAGGGAAGGGAATTCACTCAGCATCATACAAAACCAACCAGTTTTGTGGTCTGTGTATAAATCTTCTCAAGTCCTCCCACTATAAACATACCCTGTAAGTTTACATTTTTCCTTTTACAAAACCAAGGTTATTCTACACTGATATTTCTTTTACTTTATGAGGTGTGAATATCTTTCCTTACCTTTACTACAAGTATAGTCACCTGCAGGTTGGCAATACTGATTTATTTGACTGATCCTTTGCTAGATATTTACGTTGTTCGTCTGTTACTCTTACAGAAAGCGCTAGTACAAATACCTGTTAAACACTTCGTGCGTATGCCTGCTTATCTTCTCCAAATACATTTCCAGGAGTGATTTTTTTGAGCTAGGTTTTATTTTTAACTTCATTGATTTGTATGCAGATTTTTTCTACTTGTTAATATAATTCCATTTTTTTCCCTCTAAGACTTTTTTTTTTTAATGTGAAAAGCAGAGTGGCAGAGTGAGTGTGTATTCCCATCAGTGTTTACTCTCTAAATGACCCCAACAGGAGCCTTGGACTCCATCTGGGTATCCTACGTGGCTTTTTAATGTGCTTCTAGCACATCAGCAGACAGCTGGAACTGAAGTGGAGCAACCTGGACTGGAACCAGGGCTCTAAGAAGGGATGTGGACATTCCAAGTGATGGCATAACCAGCTGGCATGTAGCACCTGCCTCAGATTTCCATCTTTTTGGTAACAGACACATCAGTACTGGAAATAGTCACAAGTTACTTGGGATCAAATCTAGTGATTAAAGTGAGAACTCGAGCTAGGTAATACTATTTTTGCCTAAAAGTCTCTGAATGTACAGCAAGGTTTTCAACATGTCACTCAAAAGTGGCTCTTAGCTCCATTACAATAGGAATTCCAAAACCTTGTGTGAAATTGGTTCAATTCTAAACAAAGCGTGGTAGTTAGTTTTCCAAACAGACTAGTAAAAAGAAGATGAATAGAGCTAAGTGATGATGCCTTCTTAGGATTCATAATGTTACAATCTAATCTCATTTACATTCATAGAAACTCAACGGTTCAGTCAATTAAAATAAATGTACTGTTCATCTGAAACTTTAATAACTGCAGTATTTTTTCCAGTAGGACCTTTTCGAAAACTAATTTTCCACTGAATGGCACTTTAGATACATTATCTTTGAATTTTCACTCTACCACCACAAATATTATGCTCTCCATTTTAAAGATGAGGAAATGAAGATTAGGAGAAGTGATATGTCTGATAAGGCACATACAGCAACATCGAGATGCGAATACAGATCTGTTTAGCTTTAAACACCATTAAACACCATGTTCTTAATTTTTTGACTCTGTCATGTAGTAACTGTAGGTATTTCTCAAATGGGATCACTACAGGGTCATTCAATTCATAATTTCAGTGTTTAGAAAAATTTCTTAATGACTCGTCCTTACCTGTTAATACTACTACTCTACTTAACATGGAAGCCAGCTGAACAAAATTGGAATTACTACTTGTGAATAGGTTCACTTATGTTCTTGAGAAATAGTGGAACTATAAAAACCCATTTATTCAATTTTTTAAAAAAAGCAAATATTGATACTGGCTTGTACAGTTAATGAGACTTATCTGGCAAGTGTGTCACATTTCAACAACAGCCATATTAAGGGTGGGAGGCGCGCGGAACTAGAGCGGTAAGTCAAATAAAAGCCTAAAAAACCTGAAGGAAGGTTTGGTGTTTTCTTTTAAACCTCAAAGACAAGCAAATACATGTATGTGATGTATAAAGAATCATTTCAAGAAAAGACTATTAACAACTTAATAGCAGAGGCAGTACTAAGAAGTTCAATGATATTCAACTCAAACATGCATAAGGAGAGTAAAGTTATTTTATTAAATCATGCACATCACGTGTGTTAGTGCAAATAGTTTAATCTGTACTCCAGAAATTCTATTGTACTTTATATCTTTACAAAATAGATTTAAAACAATTATTTACTTTAAAAAATGTAATTCTGAAGTTAAGCATTTCAGAACAATATTTGCAATAACCTATATACAAGAGGTACTGGGTACCACTGGCATATTAGCATTCTGTGGTGGAGTGGCTTCCTGCAACAGAAAATGATGAAATGAGCTACATGACAGTATTTTCTACAAGTTGTTTGTGACTAATTCCTCCACAAACCTAGTGATCCTCCCAACAGCAATCTCAAATAGCTTAAAATATAGCTTTTAAAGTACAAACAATGACTGCCAAACATTACAAGGCAAATTATACCCTAAACTCCTATGTCAATCTTTGGCTAGGCCTGTGGATTGCCAAAGAACATTCAAGCCAGTTCACTCACATTCCCTCTCACTCTTCACTGACTGAAAATTTTAACTATGTGATCCTTTAGGATATAACTATGACCTAAATAAACTTTACTGACGTAACTATGGTGCTGCACAAAACCATAGCGAAACTGTCATGTCTGTGTTTTGAATTGTATAATATTAAGCAGTGCTGAGGTGCCTCTTTGTGCATGGAACACTATTAATGTTGGGAATAGTGCTTCTTATGGACAGAAAGTCCCAATTAACAGCAATAAAAAGAAAATAACCATTGGCATAATCAACCAGGATATCTGTTGATAGATCACAACAGCCACCTTGCACATGAATTAGCTCCAAAATATCATAACCAAATTAAGTCAGTAAAATCTTATCTAAAGAGATATTCTTTCTTCAATTAAACATGCTTGGAGGAACAGATGATAGAAAAAAAAATCATGCTTTCTAAAAATGCTGTATATGAGAAAGTAAGTTGGCTTTTAAAGAAAATATCTCTTTAAATACATGAGGTTTAATAATTTACATTCCAATTGACTCAATGGTTTGGTTGACTGCACTGAGACTGTGTAATTACTGTTTTTTGCTCCCAGAAATACTTTAGTTTGCTCAAGAAAATACACAACTCTCATGGAAAGTTTTCAAAGCTGATGTCCTCCACATCTTCAAGTCACATTAAGGCTAAACAAGCGTGCACATATTCCCAAATTATTACTCTAACAGAATATTGTTCAAATGTATTTTTCCTTAAAAAAAAAAAATCCACACAAATAGTTGTCTCTATGTCTTGTTCCCAATAGCTCAGTGGTTTTACAATAAGTAAAAATGGCGTAAATATGTAAAAAATATATATATGTGTATATATTTCAAACTGATAGGCACTGAGCACACAGGGCCTCTCTTCCCATGTACGTACTGGTTGTTTGGTTCGGGTAGTTACCGAATCAGAAAAATGAATTATCTGGCCATCAGAATTCAGAGTAAAATACCCATAAACTTAAATGTTATAAATAATTTGGTGTACCAAGAAGCCTACTTTAGGCCACCATAATATTCAGAATTTCAACATACTAATTTAAAAATTACATGAAAAATTGCAAGCAAATTATTGCTTACAGTAGAATAAGTCACAATTTTATATCTTCTTTATAGACAGATACATTTTATATAATTTAAAGCAATGACCCTACAGTTGTATTCTTGCACTTCTGTTGTTTTAAGAGGTAAAAAAGAAGAAAATGGTTCTGTTTGTCCCCAGCATGAGTGTGATGCCAGCTTCTAGAGGGAGACGGTGTACGGACTCAAGGAACGCTCTCATGGAGAAGCTCTGGCCAGACCTGGCACGTACAGCACGATGGCTGTCACCGCAACCAGGGCAGCCAACATGGGCATCCAGGGCCAGGGTTTCTGTGTGGAAAGAAACCAAGAGTCAATATCACATTCTCCCCTCTTTTGTCATACCTATTAACCCCTTCGTTGCAGAGAGTCCTGAATACTTAAGAGGATATTGGAAAAATCTTATTTTTGTATTGTGAAAGCAAAGTTTGAATAGAAAAGAAAAAAAAAAAGTTAAGAGGGAGTGCAGGTATAAGGAGAGTTGTAAAGTAGGAAAACTCTTTGGAAGTCTAATGCACCCCATGAGAACCCCAGGGAATTTTCAACTCTTACATTATAAGGAGAATCTACTAATGATTTCTAAGAAATTCTGGGACTTCAACTGCTTTATTTACTTCGCAATTTACTTTTTCCTACATAACTGATGAAAATAGGCCCCTATAGTATTTCTGCCTAGAATGTTTATTTCTTGATTTTAAAAAGCCTCACACATTGGGAGAGTTTTGCACATGGGGCTGTAACTAAGGTGACAGAAAGAAAATGGCCTGGACTTTGACTCTCTAATGTGAAACCACAGCCCAGAAGACAAAGTTAGATGGGGTTGAAGATGGAATGGTGTCATCAGGGGCCTTGCGGATCTGAGCCTCTCGGTGAAGACCTTGCCTTGCATAATAAAATCATATGAACATTCCACACAAGCACTGATGGACTATTCCCTAACTTTCAGAGGGTTTTATAATATTATTGTGCCCTGGCTGATGCCTTTATTTTTACTAGTATTCCAGATTTCACAGAGAAAACTGCTTTTTAAAGAAATATTCTGATGTTGCAGCTCAGAGCTCAGAAAAAATGGGATAGGCTTATGTTCTCACTGTATATACTGGGGCTGGAGTTGTGAGTCAATGGTGCATTATGCTAATTTCAATCTTTCTAAAAATATTTATAGTCATAGTGTAAATAGCCAAAAGTCTAAAAGAAATTCTTTACCAAAGAATGATAGTGGGGAAGGAAGGAAGGGTGAGACAGGTTGAAAACTTCAAAGAGGCAAACTCTTCATTTCTCATTCAAATCTGATTAAGCACATAATAGGGAAGGGGTTACAAATACTGTAGAAAAGCACTGTTTACTTCAGTTTGCTGGAGATAAAGACTCAGTTAAAGGAAGCATAGTAATAACTGGTTAGGTTGGGATTCATGGTTAGAATTACTACAAAGGAAACAAGACAAAATGTTATATGATTAGTGGATTGTTCAGCTCACTGGCAGGACACAAATACATGGCATACTAAATGAAGGGTTTGCTTCAGCTAACAAAATACCCATGTGGTTTTGCCATGCACTATATTACAAATATGGCACAAACAGGTGACGGGGACAAACAGACAAGGACTCAACAATAGTGCTTGTACCTTTCTCTACCACAATGGACCGAAACACCAAAACAGGAAAGCCAGGAATAGGCCGATGAATACGGCTGGGACGGGTTGTAATATGGAAGGCTAAAGAAGGCAAGGGATATTAAAATCATTTTATGCTATGAAAAAAAAAATCAAATAAGATGATTTAGACCCCGGGGGGTAGAAGGGAAGGAAGGAGAACAAGGTAATAGGAATATACCACTCAGGTTTCGCACTGATTCAAATATTTTAAAGACATTTGACACAATCCAGAACAATGGACTGTGATATGTATGTTGGCAAATTACCAGCTGAGAGGGACCAGCTGGAGGCAATGGGCAACGTGGGTGTCCTTACCACGCTAATGAAATGCAGCACATTAAGACAGAGCAACGACAACACTTCACCAACTCATGCTCTGCTTAACAGTGTATTATTTTTGTTTCAAATCTGGAATCCATTATTTGATAATGTACTCCCTTGGCAATGACTAAGTTTATTTTATCCCTCCATGAAACCCTTTTTGCAACCCTCCCCACCCCCAACAAAAGACAACTCACTTGCTTATGAGATGGTATTGCTTTCAAGCTTAGAAATAAATGCTCTTGATAATGCATACCCTCTAACACAAGGCCTGAAAAACCTTTGGTATATACGTAGGCACCTGACTCTTGGGGCTTTTGATATGTTAGCAGAATATAATTATCTTATGGAGGATTTTGATTATGCCAAATGTTTTTGTAGGCTTATTTAATAGGAAGTAGACTGAAATACCTTAATCAGAGGGATATGGATTAAGACAAAAGTAATGAAACTACTATTGTATGATTTTTTAGAAGAGTTCTATCATCTACATGTTAAACTGTAGATTTATTCTCATAAAATGAAATCTATTTTTCACTTAGCATAGAGCTTCCATATACAATCCACCAACTTTTAAAAGGCTTCCGTCTAAGCAGTAAGCCTTTGTTGCTTACAAATCAAGACTTTCTTAAGCAAAGGGCAGTTGGACACATCTCATGAGCATTCTGTGTGCAACTGCGTAACTGGACGGCCATGCAACATCACTCGGAAGCCTCGTGCTGCAAGTTAGGCAGAGTGCCTTCTTCAGCAGGAAGCACGTGGCTCACACCCTCTGCAGTGGCCAAGCCGTGACAAGAGCCTGGAATAATCAGAGCACAACCAATCACACTGAACATCCATCAGTTAGGGCCCACAAAGGCGATGATCACCAAGAACACACAACACAACACTTATTTAGTATAACAGCTCATCAAAGACCATCTGCCTTTCTCACAAATGGAACCAAACACAATTGGACTCAATTTATACCAGTGCCAGAATATTCTCAACTTTTTCTCACTGAAAGTCCTGCAGAAATTCACCAAGTATTTTCTAATATTTACAGGATGCCAGGGAGACACTACACTTTTAGGATGTACCTTGGTGAGAACATTATTAGTATAAAACGAAAACCATAAATAAGTCTCCATTTTTTTTGGGGGGGAATAGAACCAAATGCTAAGGATTAGTATTGTACTACTTTCCCTTAAATGGATCCCTGGTGGTACAGTGCTTCATTTCTCAGCAAAGGAGGAAAAAGAGCAAGATGATGGCTTAGTGACAGAACTTCAGACTTCAAGTGGGAAAAGCTGACAGGTTAGCTCTTTTGATTGCAAACAGGGCAATCCACGCAGGACTTGGTGCCTTCGAGGGGTACAGGTAAAAGGGCAAATTCCTACTAAAAGAAACTAATAACAATGATTCTATTGTAGAATTTCATAATGAAAAGCTTATTTCATTTGTATCACAGGCCATTAGTTCCCAGATCAGTAATACAGTCCTCTGAAAATCCATTTCCAGTCTCTCACCTGCCTTTCAGTCAAAGCTAAGCCAAATTCGCAAAGACTTACATTATTATTTCCTTTCTCTTGGAGCAGCTTCAGGTTGTCTTTACATTGTTTGAGCTCATCTGTGATTGATTGCTTTTCCTGCTCAGTCATTTCAAACTTCAACTTCAGTTCTGAGAGTACAGTCTGTGTCTTTTCATACTAAAGGCAAAGAAAAAAAATTGTGCAGACTCAACTTAAAATGGGCATGAAGTTATGGTGCTATTCAGGCTTATATACCAGACCCTACTCAGTCACCTGCAAGGCCGAAGTCAAGGCTTCCTGGTTTAAGCAGGGTAAGATTCACATACACTCTTGTCTTTAATAGTTACCTTGAATTTCTTTAAGAATATTCTGGCCCTTACGTGTAAAAGAAAAATTAACAGGAGTCACCATTTTGTCATCTTTTTCTAATACAAAGGATCACTTTTCACCTTTTTCACCAAGTGAATTATAGGAGAAAAGGAAAATTGTAAACTGAGAAACAGAGAAAGAAAGCAAGCAAGGGAAGAAGGAAGGAAGAAATTCCATAGCCAAATTAAATGGCAATATTAGAAAGCTTGGATTTATATCCTGGACAATGTCACCCAAGCTATTTAGCCTTGAAGTAAAAAGTATTAACTCCCAATAGGTTTTTCTTTATCCAGCATTATTATGTACTAAAATGTTCTGATTGAGATTTTTAGTTAAATGAAACACAAAATAAATCTAAATATTTAGCACTATGGGAAATTCTGATCTTTTCTACATAAGGCTTGCATCAGTTAAAAATAATTTTAGGGACAAGTACTAGGTACAGAGTCAAGATGCTGTTTAAGAAACCTTAATCCTTAAACCTTAACCTTAAGATACTGTCTCTGAGTATCTGGGTTCAAGTCCCGGCTATGCTCCGGATTACAGCTTCCCACCACACCTCGGGAGGAGCGAGTGACAGTTCAAGTAGTTTAGCTCCTGCCACCTGCTTGACAGACCTGGATTGAGTCCTGGCTGTAGCCTTTGGTTCCAGCCATTGCGGGCGTTTGGGGAGTCAACTTCTGGGAGGGGGCTATTTCTTTTGCTCTCTCAGATAAATATAGTTTAAAATGTTTTTAGACATCTGTTTACGAAAGAAGCTTTACTTATAATGAAACTTGCTACTGTCTGTCCTGGGAAATGGTTCACTGTAATGTGACTTTCAGACAAATGAAATCCCTGGAACATAAGTGAGACCAAAGTAAAATGAGGTGTGATCTGCTCCTACTTTAACAGGCCCTAGGAAGTTAGAATTCTACAGGTTCCACTTTTAGACATCTTTCTTGCAAGCCAGGCTTCCAGGCAAAGAGCAGAGACTGTTCTGCTACTAGATGTGTCTTCCTCCCTGCCTCTGCTGTCCCACACTAGCATCTTTGAAGCTTTTAGAAGGAAGACAGAAGGAGAAGCACCAAACAGGAAATACATACACCATGGGTATGTCATACCAGAGATTCCACTACTTTCTCCATTATAGCCTATAAGGCTGCAAAGTTTCCAGTTTCAAAACTACTTATACCATAAAAATTCTTTAATAAAGGAAACTTTATTAATGGTGTTTTTAAATAATTCAAGCATCTTGGACTAATTAGGAACTCATCAGTATGCTCAAAAAAGATGAATACTGTGGTGGGCATTTGGCCTCACGGTTAGGACACTGCTTGGGAAGCCTTTCATACTGAAGGGCCAGCATTTCGGCCCCAGCTTTGCTCCCAATACCACCTGCTTTCTAATGTACATGCTGGGAGGCAGCAATGATGGCTCAAGCTGGAAGTTTTCTGCCACTCACACAGGAGGCCTGGATTGAGCTGCAGATCTTGATTTTGGCTCAGCCTAGCCCCGGCTCTTACACAATTTGGTAGAATAAACAGTGCATGGAAGCTCTTTTCCATTAAAATATAAATACAAGAAAGAATGAAAATGTAAAAAAATAACACTAGAAGAGAGAGGCCAGAGGAAGTGGTTAACGCCAACACACAGATTACTACAAAGGGAGAAGAAACACAAGAGTACAGAGGTGAGGGATGGGGGAGCGGGGGGAGAAGAGACAAAACCTGAAACTGTCACCTAACAATGTTCCCAGCATAAACCTGGGTGCTATGCCAGAGAATGAACTAAAGAATCCTTTACCGCAGTTTTTTCCAGTGGATGTGAAGGTCTGTGATTTCCTTCCAAGACGCAGAAGGTTACTGGAAGGCTGCCAAAGCAAAGTCACTCTACCTGGCCTAGTTTCTGCACCTTCAAAACTAATCAATTCTCAGTGATCCACGACACAATCTGACTCTCAACAATAACTAAGAAAGAAGAAGCAAAAAGTTCTTTGCTGTCCACAAATTTCCCTTGCTTTCCTTTTCCACCAATCTTAGATCCAGCCTGCGCTTTACACTAAAGCATTTAATTATTCTAGGCCTTGTCAGCAGAAGCAGAGGAAGGCTGCAGCTCTGTCAGGAAGATCCTGCTGTTCCTTCCAGAAGGAGGGGCTGCAAAAGACTCTGGCCCCACAGCCAAGTGGTGAAGCCAAACAGCTTTTCCGAATCAGCTTTTGCAGTGTGAGCTCGTGTGCTCAACATCTTACGATTGTTATGATTAAGTAATGGCAAATCAGATGAAATTAAAATAGTAGATGGTTTCTACAGTCAAATATAAAGATGATATGCCATTATTTTCTCTTAATACTGAGATTTAAAATTTATTTTTCTCATATGCTTTAAGTATTCATCTGAACACTGCCACAAATATATAAATAAAATTTAACTAGTGGAACAAAGGTCACTTTCTGCAGCTTAAATTTCACACCTTGCTTGTATGTCATTTTTTTTTTTCCATCTTGCTTTCCAATTGGGGTGGAAACAAGCTCAGCCCCAATTAAGAGGCAAATATCACACAATATCATAAAACATCTTTAGTTCTTATTCATAAAAATAACATGTCTGAGCTTGCTTCTAATAATAGAAGAGGCTGTTACAATGAGAAAGATATACAATCATAGCACTGCACTGCACCTTAAGTATGATTCTGTGAGGAGAGAAAGGGGAAATGTAGGCAGTTATAAGTGTGTTAAAAGGTGATTATTCATTTGCAGTGGCTTATACCAGTAAGAACCTCATTAAAAATTATTTTAGTTACAGACTAGTATCAAATATGTTGACAACAGGACAAACGGAAAGATAGCAAGTTCACATTTTCACAGGATTATGACTGACTATATATACAGCATTTCACAATGGAAAACAGTGAACAAGAAAATTGAGAAGAAACATATTGACAAGATCAGACATTTTTTAAATATGCTGCATTTAATGCAATCCAAATACTATCAACAATTTAGATATCGTGACAACATGCCACTGCCATTTGTGGAAACAGTTAAAGCATTTTGCACTGACTGCTCAGTGACCAAAAACAGCGAACAAATAATGCAACAAAATGGCTAATGCATTCACAGTAACATATAACAGAATCATCTTCCAACCATAGCAGTCTTCCCAGATTCTGAAAGAATTATGGCATATGGACTGGAAGGACACAAAGTGCTTACAGTATTAAATACCAGGATATTTACTTTGGCACAAAATTTGTGTTCCAACCAAATAAATGAGATTTCTCCTAAAACACATATCCTTTGCAAGGTAAAAATGAACATATTACATAACCAATATGTCCACATGAATTTTACAGCTTTTTTTTTTTTTTTTAGGAACAAACATGAAGACAGAACAATAATCATTTCCAAGTTCAGAATACTACAAGGAAAGGAGAAGGCAAAGAAAAACAGCATTGATAAAACAATTTTTTAAGAAATAATTTTGGGAAAGTCATTATTAAAAAAGTGAGTCCACAGCTTCCTTCCAACTTATAGAGTCCTTCATTTAAGACAGTCAACAATTGGGATGGTCCTTGATCAGTAGATCAGGCCTTAGCAGCCTTTCCATCCCCTAAGCAGGCCAGGTGCAGATGCAAGGAGCACCAAGGAGCACACTGCTGAGTGCAGCTCTTACTGCGCTGCAGCCAATTCCAAAGCCTTGGAAGGTCTCTGCTTTAAAGTTAACTCTTATTATTTTTAACATCCTTAATTAAATAGCTGCCAAGCCAAGGTTTTAAGCAACAAATCATGAGAGATGAACATGCATGCTGGTGAAGACTCCCCCATATACAAACACAACCCAACCCCCCATCCCCCCCCCCAACCACCACCCCACCAACCCCACCCCACCCCCCACCCAACACACCCACACCAACCCCCCCACCACACCCACCCCACCCCCCACCCCACCCCACCCCACACACCCACCCACCCCACCCCACCCCCCCACCCACCCCCCCCCCCAACCCCACCCCCACCCCACCCAACCCACCCCCCCCCACCACCCCCCCAACCCCCACACCCCCCCCCACCCCACCACCCCACCCACCACCCCCCCCCACCACCCCACCCCCCACCCCCCACCACCCCCCACCACCCCAACCCCCCACCCACCCCCCAACCACCCCCACCCACAACCCACCCACCCAACACACCACAACCACCCCCCACCCCCCAACCCCACAACCCACCCCCACCCAACAACCCACACCCCCAACACCCACCCCCACACCACCCCAACCCACCCCCCCCCAACCACACCCCCCACCCCCAACCACACCCCCAACCCACCCCCCACACCCCCACCACCACCCCCCACCCACCCCACCCCCCCACACCCCCCCCCCCCCCACCCCCCCCCACCCCCCCCACACCCCACCCCCCCACCCCCACCCCCCACCCCCACCCCACACCCACCCCCCCCACCCCCCCCCCCACCACCCCACCCCCCCCCCCACCACCCCCCCACCCCCACAACACCCACCCACCCCCCCCCCCCCCCCCCCCCCCCCCAACCCACACACAAACCAAACCCAATAACTTCCCCCACAAACACAAACTAACCCCACATACCCATCCACACAAACAAACAAACTTACCACACCCCACATACATAAACACCATCAATTACTAATACTATTCCTTCCTTCCCACATTCCTCTTTCCCCTCCCCCATACCATAAATTCTCACCATCCCCTTCCCCAAAAGACAAAACTGCTTTAATGAGAAGACACCAAACTGGGGGAAAACACTAATCCTGGGATGAAAAACGAGGTGCCCCTGACACGACTGAGCTGTGGCATGTTTTCTACTTAAATACTCTTGAGCCTGCATGTCTGTGCCATATTATACAGACACAAACAATACCAGAGGATCTTAGTGATCCACAATGTCAAATAAGAGGCATGAATGCAATCCTATCTGAAGCTGTGCTATAGGTTTAATTCTGATCACTTCTATAATCTGATGTTAAAACAAAAAACATGATATGAATAGCAGTAAAACAGCTTGATACACAGGAGTAGAAACTTCTTGTTCAATTCCTTCTTTTATATCACAGACAACAGAGAATGAAGGCAAAATAGGGTAGTGGAACTGTACAATTTCCTTCCTATAAAAACCAACAGAGAGCCCGGCGCAGAAGCCTATGGCTAGAGTCCTCATCTTGCATGTGCCGGGATCCCATATGGGTGCTGGTCTTAACCCTGACAGCTCCACTTCCCATCCAGCTCCCTGCTTGTGGCCTGGGAAACCAGTTGAAGATGGCGTGAAGCCTTGGGACCTTGCACCTGCATGGGAGACCTAGAAGAGGCTCCTGGCTTTGGATTCACTCAGTTCTGGCTATTGTAGCTACTGGGGAGTGAATGGGGAGTGGATGGAAGATCTTTCTCTCTGTCTCTCCTTCTCTGTAAATCTGCCTTTCCAACAAAAATAAATAAATCTTAGAAAAAAAAAAAAAACGGAATCAAACCTATTAATTAAGGAATTGCAGAGTATAAATCACATAGTGATTATATGCTAGGTAATATCTTAAAGATTTATTTTTTTAAATTTTTATTGGAAAGTCAGACATGCAGAGAGGAAGATCTTCCATCCACTGATTCACTCCCCAAACGGCCGCAATGGCCGGAGCTGCGCCAATCCAAAGCCAGGAGCCAGGAATCTCTTCTGGGTCTCCCACTTGGGTGCATGGTCCCAAGACTTTGGGCCATCTTTGACTGCTTTTCCAGGTCACAGGCAGGGAGCTGGAAGGGAAATGGAGCAGCTAGGACAGGAACCAGTGCCCACATGGCATCCCAGCATGTGCAAGACAAGGGCTTTAGTCAATAGGCTACTGTGTCAGACCCCCATTTCTACTTTTGATGCAGCTTACTAATGTGCATCTTGGAATGCAATGTGTGATGATGCATTAAGTAGTTGGGTCCCTGCTAGCTACCCTTAATAGAGAGAAACCTGGATGGGGTTCAAGGCTGCTGGCTAAAGCCCCATTCCGTCTCAGCTGTTGCTGACATTTGGGAATTGGACCTGCAGATGGAGGATCTCTATCTCTTTCTAGTTTCTATCTCTTGCAAACAAATTGAAAATGAATACACAAAAACCATTCAATAGAATGAACCAAGCTTTTAAGGAGGAAACCAACTTTAAATAAACTGAAATATGACAAATGTCATTAAGGAGACTTGACTCCATTATATTTGTTTGAGCAAATATAATGCATTCATTGGTTTGCCTGTAAGGGACTGGATACTAAAATGATTCAAGCAGTTTTTGAGAATTCTTGATCTTACATATTATTTCTCTTCATATAATTCTCTCAAATTCAGAAGCTGAATTTTTATCTCTCAGTATATGTTCTTTTTCATGGTCACCTAGTCACTAACAGAAAGGGTTACTGGCATGAAAGAAAAACATTACTGAAATTTACAAGGCAAGTTCAACTACTAATTGCACATCTTTGATGTTTAGGTTTTTCAAAGGGGTGAGAGAAATTTAATGAATTTATATTCCATGAATACACCAGGAAGGTATTTAAATATCAAAAATCCATTAAACTCAGATAACAATTCAAGATAAAGACATATTTTGAAGCTACAAGAGAGTTCTTGCATACTTGTGCAATTCTTTTTCCTGTCGTTGCAGTTCTGAGGATAACAAGACATTTTCCTTTTTTAGAGAATGGCATTCGGTTTCCAATACATTCCATTCCTTTCGCAACTTCTCCAGTTCACCTAAAATAGTTCCAAATCATACCTGTTAATAGCGGAATGTAATTTCCAAAATAATTCAAACGGTAATGGTATTTCAGAGAATATACTTTTCCCACTTGAATACTTTACATGGCTGTTCTTTGATTCTGCTTACTTTGCATCCATATCCAAGAAATTCTATTGGAGAAGTATTCTTTTCCACTTCATTTTCATTATGCAAATAATTTCAACATTACTCAATATTACTTAAATAAGATAGGAAATTACAAAAAAAAAAAAAACAAAAACCCAGCTCTTTAGCTTGTAGAGCCTGCAGATCTAAAGAAAACGCTTAAAACTCCAACATATACACTTCAGTGCTTTTATACAATTGATTGTTATCAGAGAGGAAAAGGCTGAACAATTCTTTCTCACGAGTGAGGAAGTTACCGCTGTCCAGAGTTAAGAGCTTTCTATAAAAGAGCCCAATCACCTTGCAACCTTGTGGCTTCCTCTCTCTGCTGGTCCTCACACTGCTGACAGCGAAGTTGGAAACTGCTCTGCAGACTCGTGACTTCTTTCTCATATTCCGAGGCTGCTTTCCGCCACCGCTCAAGCTCGGCTCTCACCTTCTTAAGCTCTTCTTGCAAAGAAGCAATGTCAGTGTCCCGCTCAGAAGCAGCCTTTTCTGCTGCTTGATGAAGGAGCAAAACTTCATCCCGGGCACTAAGCAATTCATCTCTAGTACTTGAGATTTCACTGTCCTTCTCCTCCCGGAGATTCTCAATATCCATGTGTAACCTCTGCAGCTGGGCTACAAAAGTATATGACTCATCACTTTCTTCATATACAAGACTTAGGAATAAAAGAACAACTCACATGTGTAGCTATTATGCAGCCCAGTTCTCAACACTGTTGCTTTTGCTTAAACTGTATAGGCAAATCCATATCTGATGCAAAAAATGTCAAAATACAGGTTCCAAAAAGAAAAGTCAAAGTGATATTTATTTCCTCTCCCCAGAGAGAAATAACGTTTTGTTTTCATTCTTCTAGATTATTTCCTATGTTTTTATACATAGATAAAAATCAAATATTAACAGGAAGAGATTATACTACATATATATTGTTCTCTTCCTATTAATTAAATAAATTTTAGAAAGAATTTCTAAGATGTATTTGACAGACAGAGTCACAGAGAAAGAGGGAAAGACAGATATCTTCCGTTCACTAGTTCACTCCCCAGAAGGTCTCAGCATCCAGCACTGGGTCAGACCGAAGCCAGAGCCTCAGTTCAGGTCTCCCACATGGTTGGCAGGGGCCCCAAACACTTGGGCCATCAATAGGGAGCTGGATCAGAAGCGGAACAACTGTCTGCTCCACTTCCCTTTCAGCTCCCTGCTTGTGGCCTGGGAAAGCAGTCGAGGACAGCCCAAAGCCTTGGGACCCTGCACCCTTGTGGGAGACCCAGAAGAGCTCCTGGCTCCTGGCTTCGGATTGGCTCAGCTCCAGCCATTGCGGCTGCTTGGGGAGTGAGTCTTCGGATGAAAGATCTTCCTCTCTGTATATCTGCATTTCCAATAAAAATACAGAAAATCTTTTAAAAATAAAAATAAAATAAAATAAGATAAAATAAAATAAAAATAAAGTCAAATAAAATAAAGGCTCCACAAAGACCTGGTTATAATGTAAGGTTTTAGAGAATTGAAGCTGTGAAAAAGGACCCCAGTCTGCTTACTCTTTGTTTCTTTTGAATCACTAAAAGCAGAGAATAAGGATTTTAAACATCCTTGGTGTGTTCCATACCTTGAAGAACCTGTATCTGTTTGCTGGATTCCTCAACTTGACTTCGATAGGCTTTTCTTTCTTCTTCCAAAAGAGCTAAACACAAAAACACATTATATCTAATTATAGGAAGTAACGAAAGTATTAAGAATTGAGCAGCTAGCAGATCCTATGAAATTCTTTCTAGAATATTGAAATTAACAAAAATTACACAGTAAGTATTATCAGTATTAGCAGTTAGATAGTTTAGATTTTAGGAGCATAAAACAGTGGTAAGTAACAATTTAACCAATTGAGTAGACATGTACCTTTAAAATAATATGTGCTATTCCTCACATGAAAAAAAATTCTTGATAATTGCTAATCAGTGTTTTGAGCTTGAATTTTTAAAAGCCAGATTTAAACTCCTCATGTTTACTGCCAACCCAAAGTACTAAATAATTGCTGAAGAGTAAAGTTTATTTTTTTCTTGGGATTAACTATATTAGTCTGTACCCTGTAAAGGGTTCAACTAAATGACTACCAGTTCCAATTTCTTCAAGAAACAGGAAACGAAGAACTAGTAACGGAAGTCCCTGTTCCCTCCTAGTAGGTTAAATTTTCTTCCTGGTCAAGAAGGTCATCTTAGAAAACAGCAGGACTTTATGGACTGTTAATTTTTCCCCATTTTAAGACACTCCAAAAATATTTACTGACTGCCACCAGGTAATTACTATCAATGATGTGGAATGTAAGTTCTAGTGAATATCACAGACTACTGGTTTATGATAGCAAAGGTAAGGGAGCTGTTAGAAAGTAAAGCAGCTGGGATGTTGGCAGATGCTGCCCTTTAATTTTGCCTGCTTTCTTTCATTTATTGATGAATGTATTTATAAAAATCAGAAGGAATATATATTTCCCTTGTAAATTATCTTGTAAAGTAGCTACCACTAGGTACAACTAGTATATATACTCTGGATTCCAAGTTTGGGTCCATCCAATTCAACCATGTTGCTTCCACATATTCCTTAAAGAATCAAAGCAATCTGGATCTCACCTTGAAGTTCAAAGCATTTTTGTTTACTTGCTCTAGCTAGCTCCTGGGCTTCGATCAATTCCTTGCGAAGATGCTGTATTTCTTGTTTTGCCTCAATTTCTGACTGTGCACCCTGCAAGTCATCTGACAAAAACATGTTTATTTTAGAAGCAAGAGTTAGTGTCACACCATAATCTTTACAACAAAAGAATGTCAATCTCTTTTGTGTTGAGACATGCATAACCAAGATAGCACAAGAAAAGTTAAATAAAATCTAGAAGCAAATTATAGTAAGTATTTTTAGTCATTTTATCCTGGAGAAAGAGCACAGTTAAAAATACATATTAGTAACTCACGATAATGATATTACAGCAGACATTTGCATGTTAAATTACATATTCAATTAATGTAGAGTTTAATAACACTTGAAATTCATTGAAATGGGCATAATACAATTCTTATCAATTTTTGAATTTCTTGATAACAAGTCAGGAAACCTTCACTTGAAACTGGAAATGGAAAAGTGAAAACTTGCCTTCAAGGAAAAACATTTAGTACAGTTAACTCAGTTGTGAAACATAAAATGAAAAGTAGGCCCTATTGCGCCCACTTTCATCACCATTTCCCAACATCACACACACACACACACACACACACACACACACACACACACACACTCTCTCTCTCTCTCTCTCTCTCTCTCTCACACACACACACTCACACACACTCTCACGCACACACACCGACTCAACATGGGTCCTCCTCTAAACTCTTTCTTGCATATATATCGCTTATCCTTTCTTGTACACTTTGTATTTTAGTTCTATCTGCAAAATTTATTAGATGAAGAAGAAGGCCGTAAAATGAAGAGATTTACAACTGTAACAAGTAAATAATTGTTTTGGTAAAGTTATGATTTTTTTTTACCTTAATTACTAGCAATAGTAAGTTCCTATCAGAGATGAGAGAGCCAACAAAAAATTACAGTTACATTTCATGTTCTACATATACCATTTTACCCTTCACAATATTTACTGATTCAAATTATTTTACAACTTACATAGTTTTATTTGAAGCATAGAACACCAATTATCAACTTTGAATTTTACTTCCTGTTACTTTACAGAACCTATCTTAATTTCTTCAAAATATGAAAGTACCTTTTAATAGGGACACTTTAGCAAGAGGTTCATTTAGGTCTTGTTCATCCATCTGGGCGTCTAATGAGGGGAGGAAGACAAGTACAGTCAATACTCAGCTATACCAGCAAGCTATCATTATGAAAAGAAATAATCAGAACTTAACATAGGTATTACATTTAGATAGTTGAAAGTGGTTTTAGCAAAATATCCTAAATTCAAGGGAGTGACCTGATTAAAAAAACAAGCACTGCTTTCCTTCTCAAAATAAAAACTTAGAGATCTCTACGTACATTAAATTCTATACTTAAACTGCCAATAACAAATACAACCACAGGCTGTAAAGCATCAGGCTACATGGACTTACCCGTAGTGTCGTCACTGCTTTTTTCCTTGCTCGGACTCAGAGTATCGGATAAATCAGATTCCTTTGCTCTTGACTGGTTTTCTACAGAGAAAAGAAGAAAAGTAAAATCTCAAGATAACAAATATCTGGAAATGCTTCAGGGAATGAATGCTCATAATCCACTTCTATGCAAAATACTGTAGGAATCAGTAAGGATGATTAAATCTCTTACTTCTTCAGCACCCTGGTCCAAAATGGAATGCGGGTTAATACACGCAGCTCAGGTTAAATTACCATGTGGCTCATGTCTGCTGCTCAGAGGGCTGGGGCTTTTGTTCAAGGTTGTCTATTTGCCAAATGGAAACAAAAAATGAAGCAAGCTTTGCTAAAGTTCAGGGAACCGCAACAAATATAGCAAAATTCCCAGGACAATGTGGACATTGTATGAGGATGATGAAAGGAAAAGACTCTTTTATATGAAAAACACTAGCTAAGAGGTTGTCCTAGAAACATCTATACTCATAATAAAACTCTTTATAACTAAAAAAAAAAAATCACAACTATTTGATATAAAAGCATAATTTAAAATGGGAAACTGAGAATATTTTATTTCTAAAAAGAGAATTAAAAAGTCCATGGAAATGTATATCATGAAAAACTATGTATTATTTTCATGATTTTTGAGGCACAAAATAGACTTTTTTTTTAACTTCCCTTTTCTATGAGCTTAAAAAATACATGTATGTTTATTTCAAAGAGAGTCAGACAAATCTTCCATCTGCTGATTTACTTCCCCAAATGCCAGCACCAGTCAGGTCTGGTCCAGACTGATGCCAAGAGCCAGGGGTTCAATCCTTACCGGGTGTGGTAGGAACCCCATAGACCACAATTTTCTGTCTCCTAGGACATACCTTAGTAAGAAGCTGGAGTTAGACGCAGAGCTGGGACTAAAACTCCAGTAATCTACCATGGGAGGTGGGTACTTCAAGCAGGGACTTAACTGCTGTGGCAAATGACTGACCCTTGATGAACTTTTTAAAGTACAGTTACAGCAAAAGCTCAAAAAAAGTTTGTGAAAAAATGGAATTTAAGTTTTTTTTTTTCCTAACAAAAGTTTTGAAACCCATTCAGTTTTTTTTTTTAAGAATACAGGTTTTTCATGAATTTTTTTGAAGACCCCTTGTATATTTGAATACATTGGGAATAAACTGAAGATTTGTTCATTTATTTGAAAGACACTACGAGAGAGGAGAGGCAGAGGGGACAGAGATCAGAGATCTTCCACTGGCTGGATCACTTCCCAGATGGCGGCTGGCAATGGCCAGTGCTGGACCAGGTCAAAGTCAGAAACCAAGTGCTTCATTCAGGTCTCCCTTGTGGGTGAGCTAAATGAGGCTATCTGCTGCTTCCCTGGCCATTTGCAGGGTGCTGGATCAGAAGTGGGATAGCTAGGACTCAAACTAGTGCCCATATTGGTTGAGTTTGCTTTTCCCTGACATTGAAAGTGATTTTCTCTTGTGTGGCTTACACGTTCTATAAAGTACTTTTCTTTCCTTTTTTTTTTTTTTTTTAAAAAGATATATTTCTAATCCTTGCCTTGCATGTGCCAGGATCCCATATGGGCGCCAATTCATCTCCCGATTGCTCCATCTGCCATCCAGCTCCCAACTTGTGGCATGGGAAAGCAGTTGAGGATGGCCCAAAGCCTTGGGACCCTTGCACCCACCCATGTGGGAGACCCAGAAGAAGCTCTGGATCCTGGCTTCAGATCAGTTCAGCTCCAGCTGTTGCAGTCACTTGGGGAATGAACCAGAGGATGGAAGTTCTTTCTGTCTCTCCTCTCTGTAAATCTACCTTTCCAACAGGAAATAGATAAATCTTTTAAAATTTTTATTTTTAATTGGAGAGGCAGATTTACAGAGAGGAGAGACACAAAGATCTTCTATCTGCTAGTTACTCCCCAAATAGCTGCAATGGCCAGAGCTGAGCTCTTCCAAAGTCAGGAATCACAGGCTTCTTTCGGTTCTCCTATGCAACTGCAGGTTCCCAAGGCTTTGGGCCATAAGCAGGGAGCTGGATGGGAAATGGAGCAGCCAGGATACAAACCACTACAATATGGTATGTACTACAGTGTTTATAGGCTGAGGATTAGTCAGTTAAGCTATCACGTTGGCCCCTCTGTAAGACAGTTTAAGCTCCTTTATCTCTAAGGAAGTCTTCATTTTTCTAGTATGTTGTTCCTTTTTATTACATCTTCTGTATTTTCTTAGAAATTACTCATGTTCTATTTATACCATTCTGTGTGTGTGCATATTTATTCCCTTCAGGAGATTATAGTCATAAAGCATATGTTTTAAAAATAATGTTATCTACTTGAACATATTTGTGGCAATGTGAAATAAAAATTTTAATTATGCATACCCACTTCTAAGTTCCAGTCCCAAGGAAACAGTAGCTGATGCACTGTATAATATATAAAGGTGCTCATTGCAGAACTGTTCATGAAGAACATTAAATCTATTATGAAATAGAAAATATTCTATACACTCCATTATTATAATATAGTTATTACTAATGGATAACAATTGAAGAGCAGTATATATAATATAATCTGAAGTAGACTGAAAATAGATGCCCCTTTAACTACATTTACTTACTCAAGTTCTGGGAAGGCCTGTAACAGGGCTCTCAGTGGTTATTTCTGGCAGTGGGGACACTTCAGACATTTACTTTCTGATTTCAAATAGTCATCCTGTTGCCAAGCAACAGGCCTGCCCTACCTCTGTGCTATCCTTAGAAAAATGCCAGACTGTAAACCTTCTGAGAAAGCAAAGGTTTATTATAAGCTTGCCATGTGACCAAGGAACAAAAATCAAAACCAAGTCTATCTCCCTATTCAGATAGGTGTTTGGGATTTATACAGTTAGGGTAAATGGGACATAACTGGGTAAAAACAAGTGATGGAAAAAAGCAGACACAGAGAAAAAGGGTGTGGAAAGACTTTTGTGTATGCACATTAACATGTTTAAGATGGCTTCTGAAACACATCAGAGTGTTATTTGACACCATAATGAACCATGAGGTAATCTCCAATATGAATTGTTCCCTGAAGATTCCAGTCGTAATGTTGGCTGTTGATGGTTCTGTCTAGTTTTATCAGGGAGCCTAAAAAGACATTTCAGCAGATACTTAGCAATGATAACTGCTATGAGACAGCAAGTAGCGATGCAGCAGGCAGGCAACTGACTATTCTCAGCTATTAGCATTTTAGGTATTCAAGAAAGGCTTGTTGATAAGGGGAGATGGGTCCTTTAATGTCAATAGTTTCAATGTGGGTATATTTAAAAAATTTTTGGAGTATATACAGTTTTATAATCAATGACATGTAAAACCACTATTGTCAATATCCAATAAAGTATTAAAATATAACTTAAGGCTACTTCATGTAAGAACATTTTTAAATCTGTGCGTTAATTCTGAAACGAATGATGAATTACAAGAAGCCTTTTCCTTTTTCCTGGTTGCCATTTGTAGTAAAGGTCAGCTTCTGAGTGACAGGGGCTTAGATTAGAAGTGAAGTCACAGACCACAAAGGCCCCAGGAATCTAATCTGGAACCTCTGCTGCATTCATACTGTGGTACAGTCAGACATTTCTGAATGTTCCAGTTATAATCACAAAGTTACTATCTCAAGTAAAACAGGCCAACACATCTAACCTCTATATATGGATAGAAAAGCAACCACTTTGTAAGAACAGAAAAGGAAACAGGAAAGAGACTCTTCTCAGATTTTAGTATTTTTGGCAATTTTATGATCAAGATATCAAAGTAAAGCAATAGCAGGGTATTTTCAGAAGCATTCCTCTGGCTTAGAAGTAACTTTTATTCTATATTTAGAGTACTGGCTGGGAAGGTGGAATTAATTGCCTCAAAAGGTGGGATATCCAATCTTCCATCAAGATCTTACCAGGATGTATATTGCATGAGAGCGGAAGTTTGCGTTTATTTCATTAACTGCTATATTCCCAATGTATAGAACAGTGTTCAAAAAAGACTGAAAAAGACTTAAGGGCCCATATCTACTTTTGAGTAAAACGGCAAGCTTTTATTAAGTCAACTCATGATCTATCATTGTTGATTCCTGATAATATAGTGATTGCTTGGAGGTAAACCAACTCCATTCAAGAATGAAACATGTCTTTTCAAAACTTCTATTTTGGAGAAAGCATTTGGCCTAAGAGCTATGATGCTGGTTAACACACCTATGTCTCACATTAGAGAACCACGGTTTGATCATTGGCTTTAGCTCCTGACTCCAGTTTCCTGTCAATATAGACACTAGGTGGTAGTGGTGATGGCTCAGCTGTTTTCCTGTCACCCACATTACAGATCTGGATTTGGTCCCACCCAGTCCCATCTGCTGTGGGAATTTGGGGAGTGAACAAGCAGACAGTAGTTCTGTGTGTCTGTCTCTCACAAAAACAGAAATTTTTAAAAAGCTAACCTCTTCTTTACTTCTGAAGCAGCATTTAACTTTCTAATATTAAGCAGTCATTGCTGGGGTAAATATGTGGCATATTGGTTAAGCTACTGTTTGGGAGAGAACCATATCAGAGCGGCAAGGTGTAGGTCCTGGCTCCACTCCCAATTTAAGCTTCCTGTGCACTGCAGGAAGCAGCAGATGATGGCTCCTTGCCACCCTCATGAGAGACACAAAACGAGTTCTTGGTTCCCAGCTTTGACCTGACGCAGCAGTACCAGCTGTTATGAGCACTGGAGGAGTGTAGCAGAAGTTGGGAGATTTGTGTCTCTGCCTCTCTTACAAGGAAAAGTAAAACAAAAAAAGACAAGCATTTGGTGTGGTGGTTAAGTTGCTGCTTAGCACGTAGACATCCTTTGAGGCCTGGCTCTTCCTCCAATCCAGTTTTCTGCAGATGTATATCCCAAGCAGCAGCAGATGATGGTTCAAGTATCTGTACACCATCTGCCCACGGGAAAGCCCCAAACTAAGTTTCAGCCTTCTGATTTTGACTTGGCCCAGCCTGGTTGCAGTCTTTTGGGGAAGTGAACCAGCAGAGAGAAGATCTCTTTTCTCCTTTTCAATTAGGTAGATACGTGTTTTCCTTGTTATCTAGGTTTGATTTATTTTTATCGAAAGGCAGATCAGATTTACAGAGAGGAGAAATACAAAGATCTTCCATCTGCTGGTTTCCTTCCTATATGGGTGCCAGTTCATGTCCCAGCTGCTCCACTTCCCGCCCAGCTCCATGCTTGTGGCCTGGGGAAGCAGTAGAGGATGACCCAAGCCCTTGTGCCCCTGCACCCATGTGGGAGATCCAGAGGAAGCTCCTGACCCCTGACTTTGGATCAGCACAGTTTTGACCATTGTGGCCACATGGGGAGTGGAAAAACTTTCTCTCTGTCTCTATGTAAAATCTTCCCTTCCAATAAAATAGTACACAAATCTTAACAAAACAAAACAAAACAAAACAAAACAGGAGCAAGGGCTAGCACAATGGCTCACCTGGCTAATCCTCTACCTTCAAGCACCTTCTTACATATGGGTGTCAATTCATGTCCCCGTTGCTCCACTTCCCATCCAGCTCCTTGCTCATTACTAAGAAAGCAGCAGAGGATGGCCCAAAGCTTTGGGATCCTGCATTTGTGTGGCAGACCTGGAAGAAGCTCCTGACTCCCAGCTTTAGATCAGCTTGGCTCTGGCTGCTGCAGCCATTTGGGAAATGAATCAGAGGATGGAAGACCTTTCCACCTCTATCTCTCTTCCTCCCTGTAAACCTGTCTTTCCAATAATAAATAAATAAATCTTAAAACAAAAAGCAACCCATAAACCAAGAAGTAGAATTGCTGGGAAAAAACCATACTCTTTTTATACACAATGATAACCAGGCTTTAAAAGGAGGTTAGCAACACTACACAAATATTTTTCCTTAGTGACACTAAAATAATTTTAAACACATATTCTCATTCACTATGCATCCATCAAAAGCACTAAGGTACCAAGACACTTTTCTTTAACTGATTTGAGAAATTTTTCTCTTTAACTCTACTTGCACTTCAAAATGCTGGCTACTCAATCAGCTAATTTGAATAAGTACTTAGGTGATGAAGTAAAAGCTATTTTAAAGTGTGTTCTCATCTAACTTTAATAAGATGAAATGAATTGCCATTGGTACTAAAAATAGTTCACTGTTCTGAAACTCAATGCCTGTTTGCCAGAACAATATTAGTGATGCATATTCTATGCATTCTTTCCCCAAATATGGCATCTGCTGTGCACAAACTTTACAATGGAATCCCCCAGATATTTGATAATACCACCTTTTAAATATTAAAAAAGGACAAATAAATCCACTTACTTTAACAAAACAGAATATACTAAAATTTAGCATTCCAATCTCTCATTACTCATTTTAACTGATGAAAAAGACTATAAATCTAGTTTTAATTTTTACACTCTGATGAAAATTCCACTATGACAATGAGCATATCTGCAAATTTATTTGCTTAAAAGCCATGTTTTAAAATTCACTTTTCATCTTCTTTCTTCTTCTCTAGATCTGACAATTCTAACAGATTAACATAGTAAACTACTTTCCATTATGAAATATGATTCTATACTCCCAACGCTAATCACTTCTCTTTAATACACTGGCATGACAAAAACTAGTATTTAAAAATTTTTTTTTGTATTTTTATTCTAAAAAGTAATAAATATTAAATGTCACATGTACTTTAAAGGTGTTATACCCACAAAGAAGTAATTCTAAGAATGTTTTACTTGAACTGTATTATAAAAGATTTGCTATGTGTTTGATTAGAATCCTGTGACCAAAGACGAAAATAAGACTGGAAATCAAATCACAAAAATTCTTAAATATACATAGAAAGTTATTTTAAGAATTAACTTTCAAAAACAATACTTATAGGCCCATCTTAGAAGCAAATTCCAAGATATCTGTCTTAAAAAGCAAGCTTTACTAATGTCTGATACTCTTAGAGAACCGCCATTTCGGCAGTAGTAAGACCTAATCGGATGGTTAAAACACAATGACCTTGAAAACGTATACATCATGATCCAAAAGAGTTATCAAAAGCCATAGGGAAAAACAGAATACAAACCTTTTGCAAGCTTTGTTTCTTCTACCACTTTGGTTAGATGCCCCTCGACGATCAGCTTCTCTGCCAAAGAAAATAAACGTTAGTATCCCAGCCCAAAGGGAGCAGCACTTCCCCGAGGCCGGCAGTGTAACACATTCCATGACCAAATTTAAAGATGATAACATTACTCCTATGACCAAGCTTGAACAAAAACTTGAACCTGGAAGGGAAACTAAGAGAACTCTAAACTGTGATAGCGCAATAACGTTAAAACAGAAAATGCAGGGCAATCAGACAACTTGCTTTTTATTTTTACTAGATTTCTTATTTTAAAAACCCTGACCCTTTTGCAAAGGACTTGGAAAAAATAGCGCCATCCTCTTTTAATCAAAGGCAGCAAGTTAAAATAAAGCAATTATAAGAAGGTATCTTATCTAAGTTAAGAAGCACAACAATTATGTTACACTAATAGTTTGCCTTTCCATGCTGACAAATTCAGCAGAGATCCCTACTGTATAACATATTTCAGGAAATGGAATAATTTTAGAAATTAAACAAATTAAACGATTTATTTTTCCTGTAAATATATAAAGTGGTATACAGCACTGCTTGTTCCTGTTTTCTTAAAAACAAAAAGCCAAAGCAATACACTTAAGACACTATTTCTTATACTTCAATAGCAGAATGATGGACTATGACTGTTTTGAATATTACTACTGTAATAATATAGGGGAAATCTGCGGGGGGGGGGGGGGGCAGGAGCCGGGAGGAAGAAATTTGACAGGATGGAAAGGGAAAAATCCTAGAGCCTATGGAACTACATAATAAAATAAATTTTAAGAAGGGACATCACTCCTACTGGATGTCCCTTATAATGTAAGCTGTCCTTCCTGTTCTTTGATTTGTTTTACCTTATTCCTGAAATTCCCTTCATAGAAACAGCAATTTTTAGCCATTTTTCTGGCATTTACATTTCTACTTTTTAATATACTATCTTAAAATTTTCTATTAAGCTTTAATATCCTGTCATCCACAAAAGCTACACTTTATCAATCTCTATCAATATTTACATTGACTTTTATATATCTGAGTCATATGCTAAGATTTTCTTTTCCATACTTTTACATTAAGTATTTTTGTATCTTACATTGCTTCTTTTTTTGTTTGCTTGTACTATGCTTTTGTATATCAAGCACAGCCCAAGTTTAAAAAAAAAAAAAGACTTATTTTTTATTGGAAAGGCAGATGTACAGAGAGAAAGATCTGTCTGCTGGTTCATCCCCCAAATGGCCACAATGGCTGGAGCTGAGCTAATCTGAACCAGGAGCCGGGAGCTTCTTCCGGGTCTCCCACGTGGATGCAGGGTTCTAAGGCTTAGGGCTGTCCTTGACTGCTTCCCCAGGCCACAAGTAGAGAGCTGGGAAGTGTGGCAGCTGGGACATGAACCAGTGGCTATGTGGGATCCTGGCACTTGCAAGGCATGGATTTAGCTACTGAGCCATCACACAGGGCCCCAGCCCAAGTTCTCATAGAACATAAAACATTCAATATTGTCAAAAATACTAAACAGTCTGTGATTCCCTTCCCATAGTTCTTTGATCTTGCTCCAGTCTGGGTGGTCCCCTGTGCAAATGTCTTTGTCTCTAGATTCTAAACCATCCTCTTCTATTTATTCCCTGATTTTCTTCTATTACATCCTCTCATAACTTCCTAAAATGGATGATAACAGGTTAGCTTTGAGGACTGGCACTGGTCATGGCTCTCAGGTTAAGCCAGTAGTCGTTATGCTGGTACCCCATAACAGACTGTTGGTTTGAATCCTGGCTGCTCAGATTCCTGCTGCTGCACCAGAGAAGGCAGGAGAAGACGGTTCAAATGGCTGGGTCCCTGCCACCCCTGTGAGACAGCAGCGTGGCAATCTTGGCTCCTGGTTTCAGCCTGATCCTGGCCCTGGACACTGTAGCCATTTGGGGAGTTAACAGGAGCATGGAAGAGCAATTATTCCCCCTTTGCCTATTTTCCAAATAAACAAATAGTCTTCTTCTGTTTGCTTTTTTAAAAAAGAAGCAAAATGCATGATTCCACAGTCAGCTACAATCTAAGAAGGTGATTTTAATAACAGTCTGATTTCTGTTCTCCAGTAAAACATGATAGAGACTTTGTGTTCCGTATCACCTGGCTTGCCTGTGCCTTCCGGTCACCCGAGAGGACTGCCTGGTACTGAAGCAGGTCCAAGGACTGATGTACAGCGTCTGAGAGTATGAGTTTTCTATACTTCCCTCACCTTTCCTGCTGGGGCACCTGAACCAGCATGCTGAGAGAGCAGGAGGCTACATCAGCAAAGCCTGCAGCAACCCAGGCCCCTGAGTGGCTGAAGGACAGAGTAGAAACCTTCTTTCTTGTATAGACCATGTTTCTTGGAAGAATCCCTGAGAGGTAACTGTTCGTTTTCCTCTTTTTTTAAAATCGTATTTATTTATTGTGAACACTAAGAAACAAAAAGGAACATAGAATAAAAAAAAAACTAAGAAAAAAAAACAAAATAAAGGTATAGATTAGCTAAATTTAATAAAGCAAAATTCTGTGTAACAAAAGTCCAAGAAACAGACCTTCCCACCAGCCTCCAAAGCCTTCCAGGTAACTCCTACACATCCATACCCTGATTTCTAAGGTATTTACTCTCTCACATTTCTTTATAATCACACTATTTAAATATTCATGACTAAATAATATACTGTAATTTTTACTGCTTCTGAACTTAAAAAAAAAATTATTTTTCTTGGAAGGACAGGTTTACAGAGAGAAGGAAATAAAGAGAAAAAGATCTTCCATCCATTGTTTCACTCCCCAAGTGGCTACAATGGCCAGAGCTGAGCCAATCTGAAGGAGCCAGGAGCTTCTTCCAGGTCTCCGATGTGGGTCCAGAGTCCTAGACTTTGGGTCATGCTCTACCTCTTCCCCAGGCCACAGGCAGGGAGCGGGATGGTAAGTGGAGCAGCCGGGATTAGAACTGGTATCTATATAGGATTCTGGTGCATGCAAGGTGAGGACTTTAGCCAATAGGCTACAGCGCTGGGCCCTGAACTTTTTTTTAAAAAACAAAGTATTTTCTTGAAAACGCAGATTTACAAAGCAATATATTCTACCAGCTGGTTCACTCCACAAATAGCTGCAACAGCCAGAGCTGAGCCAATCTGAAGCCAGGAGCTTCTTCACAGCAGAAGTTCACACATGGGAACAGGTTGCCAAGATTCTGGGCCAACCTCCATTGTCCCAGGCACAAGCAGGGAGCTGGATGGGAAGTGAGCAGCTGGGATACAAATTAGTGCCCATATAGGATGTTGGCTCTTAAAGGTGGAGAATTAGTCAGTTGAGCAATCGTGTCAGCTCCTGCTTTTGAACTTTACATAGCACGTCAGGCTTCTTTCACAACACACCTCAATATCATTTGCCTACTAAGGGTCTGTTGCGCTATTTGGAGTTTTGAACAATTGGGAATATGACTGCTGTGAATTTCTTCGAGTTACATTTCTCTGCAGGCAATTCTGTAGGGAAGTTTAACATCTGAAAATAATCATCTACGCATTTTGCTTAGTCAGAAAATATCGAACAGATTCCCAGAAATGATCAATTCTTTCCAATGTCTGAAGAGAACCAGGCCAGTTTCCTCGCTGACTACATTACAGTTGTGACATACAATAAAAGAAAGCTCAAGCTAAGAAGTTTAAAGGGAGCACAAGTGTGCCAAGACTGAATTGAAAGCTAAACAGCTGTCCTCCTCCCATGACAGCTGTAACTGAAATGTTTAAGCAGAAGATAAATTCAAATACCACAGACAATCTAATACTAATGTCAGCTACTGAGGATATCTCAAACAACCCAAGAATCTGCTGCTACATATCATGCTGGATATTTCTCTCCTTTTTTTTCTTTTTAAGATTTATTTATTTTTATTGCAAAGTCAGATATATAGAGAGGTGGAGAGACAGAGAGGAAGATTTTCCTTCGGATGATTCTTTCCCCAAGTGATTGCAACGGAAGGAGCTGAGCTGACCTGGAGCCAGGAGCTAGGAGCTTCTTCTGGGTCTCCCATTTGGGTGCAGGGTTCCAAGGCTTTGGACCATCCTCAAAAGCTTTCCCAGTTCCCAGGGAACTGGATGGGAAGTGGGGCCACCAGGATTAGAACTGATGCTCATATGGGATCCTGGCTCCTTCAAGGCGAGGACTTTAGCTGCTAGGCCATTGTACTCAGCCCCATGCTGTATATTTCTAAGTCTCAAAGGTGGATTTCATTCAAGAAATAATGCTATGAAGTCATCAAAATAATGTGTTTGAGATTAAACTTCCCCAGGTAAAAATTTACATACATTTTGGTAATCAAAAGATATTCCCTAGACTATAAGAAAATATTATTTAATAAAAGTAATAAAGCCAGATCAATCAGCTTTCACAGTCATATAATGGAAGATAAGGAGAAAAACAAATTATTTCCCTAAAAAAGCTTCCATAAATACTTCTCAATTTTATCCTCTCCTCACCCCATAAATTTCATACTTACTAGCTAATGTGTAGTTCTATGTGCCAGGCACTACTTACAGCACTTAGCAAAAACAACCTCAATTCATTTTCCTAATAATTCCTACAGGTAGGCACTGCAATACCATTTTATAAATGAGGAAATTGTGATTAAGAGAGGCTAATTTGTCCACTATTACATAAACTATGAGAAAATATGTTAGTATTTGTATCAAGATCTCTCTGACCCACAAGTCTTATGTGAATCTCATTGGACTGAAATTTTCATGGTGGGAGGTCTGTGTTCCCTCAGAAGGGTCTAGGAGCATCTATTTGTTGGCAGAAATTTAGCGTTGTCTGTTTCAGAATGACAACATCAACAATAAAGGAGGAAGAGTAAAGCAAGTGAGAGATTTTATTAAAAACCAGAGATTCCTGCTTGCCAGGAGGGGTCCCCAAAGGAGTTGTCCATCTGGGTCTGGGTCCTGGGAGGTTACACAGGGAGCATAAATAGATTATGTTTGTGTGTGTTCATCATTTTGTTGTTGTTTTCTATGATACTGCTT